TATTTTTACTTGTAGGTTATTTCACTATAATTTCATTTCAGGTTTATTGTTGCTTAATATAATTGTTATTTTCAACTATTCTTTTTTAATTCTTCTTTTTTAGTTGTTTCAGGGATTTCAAATCATTTTATATAGTAGACAATGGAAGTCCGAACTAGCGAAATTCATCATGAAACATTGTCAATCACCTTCAAACAAATATTATTTTGTTTTTTTGTAGACTTTAACTCTTCTAGAGATACTTATTCCGTTGAATTTGCTATTCAGTATTTTCGGTGATGGCGTTTCTTATATGAAAGATGGAATTGTGGAAAGCGATGGGGAACCAATAAAATTCCATAATTTGGAAATACCTGGTCCGGCAGATCAACAGCAAAAACGAGGCTCGATATGTAAGTTGCATTATGCGAGTCATTCTCTAACGTAATGATGAAATAGCCAAATAATTGAGTTTTATTTCTAATTCATCATCAGCTACTCATCATTTCTGGAGAATGACTCAGTTGCTAGAGTGGAAAGTGTGACTTGGGTTCACAACTTCTTTTGCTCTTGTAGCACCTCTTATTGAAGACGGAGACTCAGCAAAGACATCATTTTCAGATGAGGAGAGTCGTTTATCCCAGCAGGCAGAATTTGAATCAGATGCAGAACATAACTTATTCTGTTGTTTACTTATGTTGGATATTTTATTGAAACAAATGGAATTACAAGATACTGACAAGCATACTGGGCTTAACTCGACTGTCTGTAAAGACGTATGTTGGTTGTTGAAGTGTATGATAACAGCGGCATGGATTGGTAGCCACTCCTGTACTTCAAAATCCGAGTGTACATATTGTGAGTCAAGTATAATGTGGCACCAGCTTTCTTTGGAGCTTCTCAAATACCTTTCACCAGTTTCTCCAGCCCATCCACCTGATGTAAGTAAAGATGCATTAAATTTAGCGAGCTTATATGAATCACGTTTCAAAAAATCCGGCCACTTGTCAAATATAAACTTGTCTTATCCAGTTCACTTTGGAAAATAATGAACTGGAAAGGTTGTTCAGTATGAAGTTTTTCGCCAATTTGAAACTACAGTTATCCGGTTACGCAAAACACATCTTTGATAGTTATCGCCATATTGCTGACACTTCCCTTACTACACATAGAGGGCTTTAATTTGACATGTTGCCTTGAATGAATTTCTACATCTCCAAGGAATACATTTCACACTATTTTTCCCTGTTTTCGAGAGAATGATCATGAGAGTATATTTCAACTGTTTTCCATTTACAAAAAGACTAATCTATGAACGGAATGAAAATTTCAGCCTCCTTTGGAGGAAAACTGGGAAGAAGCGTACAGCAGGAAAAGTCCACCGGAAAACGACAACAAGGAAGCCAAAACGGACGCTGTGATTAACATGCCTATTCCGGAAGTACATTCCGTAGGAGGAGTTCTAGTACACATGCCTCACGTGTGTTCTGTACGAGGAGTATACAAACTCAAACCAAGAAAATTGGCTTGAGTTAAGCAGAATTTTCACAATTTGAGAGAATTGGCATGTGATTTTTATGAAGTTTTTACGAAAACATTTATTGCAATCAATTTATTCGATTGTTTGGAAAGTTTCCGGTCTGAAAGTTCAATTCCCACTCGGTAATAATAAAAATATCCATCATAATGTTCGAGTGCTAAAAAAGTAGTATATCGTTCAATATTTAGTCGAAACCAGAGCTCTAAACATCTTATTAGTGGTACGAGGGTGGGTCCAGAAGTATCCGGCCCAACAACATGTATTTATTTTTCAACATAATTTCCTTGCAGCTCTAGACACTTTTCCCAGCGACGCGTGTCTTCACTAGTTAGTTAAGGCACGTTTGAAAAAGCTATTGTAGAGGAGAGGAGGGAACTGTACGCATCTAAGCAATATTTGTCATAAATCAAATGTTTTTATCGGTAAAGCCTTCAGATTTGCCATAGTTGTTCATTCATATGTTCCCTTTAACAGAGCCATCTCAAATTTTCTACAAAATAAAAGGGGTTGGTATAAAACAGATAAACCCAAGTTTTGTGGTTTGCGTACCTATAACAACTGAAGAAAACATTTTTTGTCGCTCCAGCCATTATCGGTGATTGCATAAATTCCCTCTAGTGATCTATTTTGTTTCTGAAGAAATATTAGGAGGGGTGGAATAAAGGTCCCAGAAGCACGTTCCCAAGATATTTTTAATCCAAATTGTTTTACGCCTTTTGGTCCCAGTTGCTTAGTTGGTTTCTGAACAGTTGAAATCCCAGGCTCGTCAACATTGAAGATTCTGCTTGGACCAAATTTGAATTTTTGTAACAAAGATGCCAAATTGGAAAAAAAATGTAACGGATTCTTCATTGAAAGCAGTAATTCTATTGACACTTGTTCCTTCAGGTTTTCTTAGGCTAATTTGGGGGTTTCTCTCAAGAAATAATCGCAGCCAATCCTTGCCTGGTTTCTTAGCAAGTTTTATTAAAATCCTGTCGTATGCCATTGGCTTCTGCATATTGAAACGCGAGTTTTCGTAACTCTACCGGTGTCAATCCATGAAGCAATTTAGCTAGTTCAAGAACGTGACTTGCCATTTGAGTTTCAACCCCAGCTGAGAAGATAGAGGGTCTTCCCAGTCTTGGACCAGATCTGTTTTTGTTCTCTCAGTGTTGCCTCGTAAATGTTGAACGATCTGGAAACCTCTCGAATTTTTCTACCAGAATCTATTGCCTCAAGAGCTTTCTGTAAAGTCTCCTCGGTCCAGCCAGCAATATTTGTTTTTCTCACGTACTTGTTAGTCATCTGAAACAACAATATGGGCAGCTGAAACACATGTACCCGATGGTTTCGGTATTATGCGGGTAATGGTACGCCAATGAAGGTAATTGTACGCAACCGCGTATCATTACCCGATTTACGCCATTTTTCTTATGAGCTATTTGAACAAATTATTGGTCGATATTGCCACGAAATATACAGGGTGTTCCTTGAACACATGCTAATATTTAAGGAGGTAATTCTTAGACCCATTTTAAGAAAAAAACTTCCTATGGACGTATGTCCTAAACGCCTTAACTTTTGAGATACAGGGTGGCAAAGTTTTCAAAAATAATCAGTTTTTTAATAATAACTGAGATAATTTTGTAGACATCTTTGGCATATTTGGTACATATGTTCCATGCCTCAAGGCG